AATAGGGTCTCCCTGTAGCCCCAGCTGGCCTGGAACTCACAGAGATCAGCCTGCCTCTGCCTCCCAAGTACAGAAACTACAGGCATGCATCACCATGCTGGGCCAACAAGCCAAACTTTTGCAGCAGGACTTCTCAAGCTTTTTTGCCCATTGAAGTGTGTGCCCCCTCCTCCCCCAATATCTCTTTTTTTGTTTGGTTTTTGTCGTGTTAGGGGCAGAACTCCAGGCCTTAAATGTGCTAAGCAAGTCCTATATCATCAAGCCACACCCCAGTCCCCACAGTATCTCTTGAGACTTGAATTTGGTCAGTTCTGGGCTTCTTCAGCTCATGGCCAGAGCACCCTCTCAGAGGAGAGTGTTACCCACCTGCTGCCCCCACCCTTGGGTATCCCTGTACAGATGCCTCCAGCCTCTCCTAGGTAGTCCCAGCTCCTCTCAGCTTGGAGCCTGCAGGGGCCAGGTGGCCTGTGTGGCTGCTCTCTAGGTGGGCCCAGGTTCCTAGGTGGCCTGGGGACACGGAGGCATGGGGGGAGCTGGGGACAACGAGTAAGCTAGGATGCTTGGTCACTGACTCCTTGGTCTCACCATTCCATGCAGTCCTACTGTCTGAAGGTAAAGGAGATGGACGATGAGGAATACAGCTGTATTGTGAGTACTGCAGGGCAGAGGGACCCAGGCTGGTATCAGGAAGGTTTGGGGTACCCATACCTCTGCTGCTACCCCACTGAACTTTTGGAAAACTCTAGGTCTGCTAGAGGTACTGGGTGCATCAGGCATGCTGGGGCCTTGGCTGGACTCTTGTTCCTTGAGTTTGGGGCTGTCAGCCTACCCTCTGGAGTACTGGCCAGTTTGCCATGGGGCAACTCCCCAGGCCTGCTCTTGGCTGGCCACCCCAAGTTGGTGAGGCTCCTCCAGGGAAAAGCTGAGTGATGCTTTGATTAGAGAGAGAGAGAGAGGGAGGGAGGGAGAGAAATTTTTTTACTATGAGGATCCATCTTTTTTTTTTTTGAGACAGGGTCTCCTTGTAGCCCCAGCTGGCCTGGAACTCACTATGTGAACCAGGCTGGCCTTGAACTCACAGGGATCTGCCTGCCTCTGCCTCCCAGGTGCTGGGATTAAAGGCATGCCCAGTATAGGATCCATCTTTTGACCGATGTTTAATTTGAGAATGGGTTTCTGTAGTTGATTTTTCTCCCTTTGAAGCTGTTGCTTTGAGTTTCTGTCACTGGCCTTGGAAAAGGACATTGTGGTGTGGCTGTGAGCTAGACCAGAGCTGCAGCCTTCTAGCCCTGCCCCATTCATCCTGGTCCACCTTGTGTCCCTGATGTGCTTGCCCACCCCAGGCCCTAGGAGAGCCCCTATACCGAGTGAGCACAGGAAACTATGAGTACCGCCTGATCCTGCGCTGCCGCCAGGAGGCCCGTGCCCGCTTCTCCCAGATGCGCAAAGATGTGCTGGAGAAGATGGAGCTACTGGACCAGAAGCACGGTGAGAACCATGCTCATGGGCTTTGGAGACACATGCTCTGGCCAGTTGGTCTTCAGCCCAAGGGTGGGTGCCAGAGATGAGACTCAGAGAGGCTCAGGATCCCACCTAGTCCCTGGTCTGTGCAGGGCCTGGATTGGGTCTATGAGCCCCTCGTTCAGCAACAGCTTCATGAGAGGCTGAGCCCCTAGGTACTAGAGTCAGGAGGCTCTTGGGTGCCCCACTTCCTACCCTTCCCAGGGCCTGGGACCCAGGAGACATCCATTGGGAAGGCCAGACCAGCTCTGGGTCTTCCCCATGAGGAGGCAGCCACAGCCACTGGGCCTGTTTGCTTCCTGTCCCAGTCCAGGACATTGTGTTCCAGCTTCAGCGCTTCGTGTCTACCATGTCCAAATACTACAACGACTGTTATGCGGTGCTACGTGATGCTGACGTCTTTCCCATTGAGGTGGACCTGGCACACACCACTCTAGCCTATGGCCCTAACCAGGGTGGCTTCACTGATGGAGAGGATGAGGATGAGGATGAGGAGGACACAGCTAGGGAGGCATCCAAGGATGCACGTGGGGCCACTGGATCCGTGGACAAGGGTGGAAGCTGGTGTGACTCCTGAGTGCCCCCTCAAGTGGACCTGGGGGGTAGGGCAGCAGGAGCACTGCAGTGGGAGCGGGGCGGGGCCACCGTAGGACAGCAAAGGCGTGTAGTGGCGCATAAAGGCCTGCTGGCTCTGGGCGCCTGCCTCCCTGCTCCTCTGTCCTCGCACAGTGAATCCAGGCTGCAGCCTGGGCCCTGAACTCTGGCCCCCATCCTTCCTTCCTACCTCCTGGCTGGAGGGAGAGCTGGGCCTTGGACAGAAAGGAAGAAGGTTTCGAACAGGTCGAGTGCAGGACCTGTCCCGGCTGGCACCTCTGTGGTGCCAAGCCTGCCAGGAGAGGGAACTGGGTGGACAACTGAGGCAGGGGCCAGTGTCCCAGGCCAGCCGCCGGAGTCCACTCACACACCTCGGCAGCCTTTATTTGTTCTTGGCTTAGCCTCAAGGACTGGGTGCTGGGCCTGTATTGAATAAACAAACCCAGACAGAGCAGGCTCTTTGCAGTGGCTCAGACCCTCCTCCCTTGACCTGCTCTTGGCTGCCTCCCTGTTCACAGGGAAGAGTGGGACACAAGGTTTAATGTATCATTTAGTCCTCACAGTACCCTGCAGGAGCAGCAGCTCTTGTCCCTATTGTGGCTGGGATGAGAGGCTCAGGACCATGCAATGTAGGGAAGTGAATGTGGGCCCCAAAGCCTTGACCATCACCTGTTCCCACTGCTTCCAGCTTCCAGAAGCTCTTTCCCTTCAACCCCGCTGTGCTCCTGGTTGTTAAATGAACCTTTATTTAGGGATAGGGCAGGACAGACACTGGTTAGGATAATGTGAGGCCCAGATTGGGGAAAGCAACTGTTCTGCTCAGCCTGGGGGAGGCTGTGGTTGATGCCATCCTTGGGCTCTGCAAAGTGGCAGAACAGGATGTCTGGGCATCCTACTTTCTCTGGCCAGGTGCAGCTCATACCTGCAGTCCTTTCCCTCTGAGTTGTCCTTGTTGGGACAATAGATATGTCATCCTGAGAGTGGAAGGGCAAGGGGTATGAGGTTGCAGGGTCTAAAATGGAAAAGCTTGGTGGCTTGGAGCTACAGGCCCTGCACAAACCCAGATGGGATTCTCAGACATATGTGGGGCCTGGAGGGAGGGGCAGGCTGTCACCAGCCATTCATGTGGGGCTCAATAGAGCTGTTAGATGACACTACCTCCCTGATACAGGGTAGCTAGTGTGGAGGTCAAGGGCACAGGCCAGAACTTACAGCCTGGATCCAGTCATGGCTTCTTTGACCCTGGGCTGGTTTCTCTCCATGCCCCTCAGTTTGCCTGTAGTCTGGATAATTTTTACCTTACTGGGTTGTTAGGTGCATCAGTGGGCAAATGTTTGTTGTATAGGGCTTAAACACTGGCCAAGTAAATGTTCTTAAGTGTTACATCCAAGTAAAAATGGTCCCATCTGGGGTGAGGGAGCTGTAGATGAATGTAAATCAGCCCAGCATTGGCTGGACTCCCCAAACCTTGTCACCTAAGTGGAAAATGAGGCCCAGGTGGGACTTGCAGGCGGGGAGGGGCTGCTCATGGGAGGAGCCCTGCTGAGGTGCTGGAGCTGGGAGTGAGTGGGGGAGGCCTCAGACCTGAGTCAAAGTGCAAGAGTGAAGTGTGGTCATGAACACCTGTAATCCCAGCACTTGGGGTGGCCAAGACAGGAAGATATCAAGTTGAGGTCACACCCCTAGGATTCTCTGGTGGAAAGCAGTGTCAGGGCCAGTGATGACCAGTCTACCCACAAAGCCACAATGGTGTCCATAGGCACAGTCTAGAGCAAAAATGATGTCCCAGGACACTGAAATGTGCCCTTTAGAGGGAGTGGCCTTGGGACAGTGAGGGACATGCACACTTGTGGGGGCAGCAGGTTGGTGTGTTGCTGAACACCTAGTTCTAGTGCTCTCTGGAACTGATTCAACATCACAGGTGAAGGAGGTACAGGCTGTGGACAGGCCTCAAGCTTCATCCTTGATCCTGACCTTGACCTTGGCTCTGATTTCTCAAGCAGCTGATAGCCAGAGGTGCTTTAGTACATAGCTCAACTACCAACCCCTAGTGTCTCCACCTGGAAACCCCCCTCCAGGCCTTCCTACCTCCAGAGGATCCTGAGGAGACCCCACCCCAGACTCCTGTCACCCCTCTCCTTAACGTTGGTGACCAGAACCCTGGTAGAGGCACAGGAGCAGAGTCTATCTTTCAGCTGAGCTTTATCAGACTTGTGCTGTTGTCAGTTCACAGCAGCTTTGCTGGCAAGGGGACAGGGCCTGGCAGATTGGAAGGGTATCCTGGGGTACCCCAGGGTCCAACTCCAACTGGACCACCCCAGCCTGCCTCCCTGTGTCCCAGGCCCTCTGAGAGGGTAAGCCATGGTTTTAACGCCCACTGGCCACCATCCTAGTGTGCTACACAGACTCTTGGCCCAGCCCAGGCTCTGCCTCCACCTCAGGCTCTGGTTCTGGGGACCCAGCCCGGGGTCCCAGCACCTCCAGGGCCGCAAGGCTGCCAGGCTCCTCAGTGATGGCAGGTATTGGCTCAGGGTCCCCTTCTGCTTCTGCATCCTCAGTGTCACTGGTCCCACCCTCAGCGGCTGGGCCTGATGGAGTGTCCTTGGAGTGGTGCAGACAGCAGTAGGTGGCAACTGCCATGAAGATCCCAGCCAGGGCCATCTCTGAGCCCACCAGGTAGAAAATGATCTCATAGTTCTTCAGGGCGTCCACCAGGCGGCCTGGGGATGGGGTGGGGCAACACAGCCTGTCAGGGTTCTCCCATACTCCCTCACTCTCAGATAAGGCAGGTGCACTGATGGGTGGGGCTTTCCAGTGACATACCCCGGATCCTGTTTTTATTCCTGCTTATAGATGCAAAACTCCACATGGGTCCTGCCATTTGGAGCCCAAACTATCAGTCCTTCCTTGAAGCTCAGTTTCCTAAGGCTTTTCAGGAGGCAGCACTTTTACACCCTTCCACGCCAATGTAAGTCAAGTGACTTGGCCTTCTGCAGGTGTTAGCACTGTCCTTTGTGGCTCCCCAACTCTCAGCTATCTGGTTTTCAGAGATTTGGTCCAGCCTCTTCACTAGAGCCACTAGGCCCCTGAAAAGCACAGGCTGGGGGCGGGGCTCTGCTCACACTTCTGCACCCCTGGCCCCTTCCTGTGTATAGTACTTGTGTATTTGGGGTTTTGGTGCTGGCAACTGAACCCAGAGCTTCACGCATGCTAAGCATGTGCTCTTCCACAGAGGTGCATCCCTACTGTGCATTTCCACCACAGGGCTTCACCCTCTCTCTGGAGTATTCCTGTGTCCATACTAGGCTGTGACCATCAGGAAGTTTCCTCAGACTCTACCCAAATGTCCCTGTCCCTGCCCAGCCAGCTGGGCCTATTCCTGTCCCCTCAATACTCAGCTCTCCACTGTCTACTTTCTGACTCCCACATGCATTCTCTACCCATTCCCATTAGATCCATCTCTGGGTCCGAAGGAATGGCAGGTGGATCCCTGGACCTCTGAGAGGGTTGACTTTGAGAATTTGAGGGTGGTAGGCTTGAGGGGGTGTGCCCTACACTGGCTCAGGGGCTTTGCTTTTCTTAACTGGGTCAGGCAAGGAGACAGAGCTTGCTGCTGGCACTTGGCTAGCTGGCCCTGGAGGAAGGACAGGCAGCTCACCCCAACTCTGGTTCAGCTTGGGCCCCACCAATTGTTCCTCTCCCCCTCCCCCAGCCCTGTGCCTTCCAGAAGCCTGGCTGTGACATTACTCACTCAAAGGCAGCTAGCTCCCTGGTGTGACAGGGAGTGAATGACTCAAAGATTTCAAAGTCCCGATTTCCACCTTTCCTATCTGAGCTCCTGCCTCCTTGTATAGGGACATGCTTCTCCTAAGCAAAATCTGTTCACACTGTGCCCTCCCCTGTAGGATTCTCCCAGATGAAGAGAGGGCCCAGTAGACAGTCTGCCCATGGAAATCAATAGCACCTCTCCTTCCCAGCTGTCCACTGAGCACCCCTTTTCTGCTTCTGTCCCAGGGGGCCGGTTCCCAAAGACACTGTCCCTATTCTATTCTCCCTTGTGGGCTGAGGGAGAAAAGCGTCTGAGCACGTTCTTTCCAGGTTAGTATTCAGCGTGTGCAAATCATGGTTCTAGCTCTGGGCCACAAATTTAACTTTCCTCTTGCTTTGTGCTCTCCATTTGCAAGAGGAGATTATGCCCCTACAGGGGACTTCACGCTAACTGCTTGAGAAGGCAGAGATGGCTGAGATGGCTGGGTGGGCTGCTATCTGGCTGTTAGTGTGAATTTCTTCCTGACAGTTCCTCTGGCTTTTCCATCCCCACCAGAGTGGATGGTCTGCTTGGGGGAGGAGTTAATTGGCCATGGAGGGGAATCTACCCACCATGCTTTCTCGGATGGGCTGTTTCTCCCCATTCCTGCAAGTTCCATTTGGGACAAGGAAAGGCCTTCCTGCAGACTATCTGGGCCCAGCCCCCCGAATCCCCCCGCCCCCCGCGCGGGGCGCGCCGGCGGAGGGCGGTCCTATGAGCACAGCCACAGCCTCCACGAGCAGCACTAGGCCCAGTGTACTGGGGAAGCGGGGCGCACCCACGGTCGCCATCAGCACCTCGAACTGCAGCGCGCCCACCATGCCTTACGAGAGGCCAAAGGCGATGCAGAAAGCGACCGGGGCGCTGTAGGAGCGCGAGCGCGCGCGCGCGCTGCTTAGGTCCGTGAGCCCGTTGGCCAGCAGGGCCAGGCTGAATAGGTAGGGGACGTGGGGTCGCAGGCGCGCCAGGCCCGCCAGGGCTCCGCAGGCCGGCCGCGCCACGATGTCCACGAAGCCCATGATGGACAGCAGGAAGGCGGCCTCGGCGTCGGGCACGCCCGTATCCTTGGCGTAGTTCACCAGCAGGATGGCAGGCACGAAGCGCCCGAGTGCCATGAAGAACTTAGTGACCACGTACACGGCGAAGGTGCGGTCTGTGCACACCGCCACGTCCAGCAGGAGGCGGGTCCGGCCGCGAGCGGGTGCGGGGTCGTAGTGCGCTGGTGGCGCGGGCCCCGGTGGCCGCATGACCGCCCCGCAGGCGCAGCAGTGCAGCAAAAGGCCACCGAGCAGCAGGAAGCCCCCGCGCCAGCTGAAGCGCTCCAGCAGGAGCTGGCCGAGCGGCGACAGCATGGACAGGAACACGGGGCTGCTGGCCACAGCCAGCCCGTTGGCCACGGGCCGCCGCCGCTCGAAGTAGGGCCCCAGCATGATGAGCGACGGCTGGAAGTTGAGGGCCAGGCCCAGGCCTGCGGGCGAGGCGGCGCTGGGCCTGGGCGCAGCTCCGGGGAAGGACAGGGCAGACCCGGGATGCTGAGGGAGGGAACGTGGGGACCGCCCCTTTGGGAAACTGATGAATGGGAGACTCATACTCTATGTTCCCTGCCCCCAAAGGAGAGCATTGGGCACCCTCACCTGTGAGCACCCCAGCCGTCAGGTACAGCTCCAGGAGGCGCGTGGCAAAGGAAGCCAGGATCATGCCTGCCGAAGCCAGCAGCCCACCGGCCAGCATCACCCGGCGACAGCCAAAGCGAGCCACGAGGATGCTAGACACAGGGCCTGTGAGCAAACAGGGTCACCATCGGGCTGGGCAGGGCTCCCCTCCAGAGGAAGCACCAGGCCTTGCACACCAGAGGGCTGAAAGAGGACTTGAATGGGATGTCGTTCCCAACACCACTGTTTCAAAGACAAAGACCGCAGTGTCTGACCAAGGTCACATAGCTTGACTGGACAGACAGGGAGGGGGAAGCCTGTGTGTTGGGGGAGGGGCATATATCTTTGCCATCCATCCTTTACCCCTCTTGAGAACCCAGAACCTAAATAGAAAAGGTGGTTTCGGCTCTTTACTCTGCATCCTGATGCAGCCTGCCTGACAGCCAGGCTACCATCCTCTGGAAGGCTCCCACAACCTCCCACCCTGCTGCTGCCCTCCCCAGGGCAAGAACTCCCCCATTAGGGCTCGGGGGAGCTGGAATGATTCTCCACTGGCAGTGTGGTCAGGAGTAGTCCACTGGCAGTGTGGTCGGGAGTAGGTCTATTGTCAAAAATGGACCCCAAGCCTTTCTGTGCCAGTGGTATATACCCAGATCCATCTCTGGTCTCTGTCCTTTTCTGGCTCTTTTTAGTCTTTCTAGGGCCAGGGTTTGCAAATAGTGCAGGGATGACTCTCTAGGCTGCAGATCCCCACCCCATGCTGGGCCCCAGGGAGGTGGACTGAGAGGGTGCTGACCCGTGCCATATAAAATAGCCAGCATGATGGAGGAGACCCAGGCTGTGTCACTGTAGCCAGCACCAAAGTCTTGCTTGAGTTCTTTGAAGAAAACGCTCACAGCCTTGGGGAATCCGTAGGCGAAGCCCGTGACCATGAAGCAGGCGCCCAGCACCACCCAACCCCAGCCACCATCTGGGGGTCCTGCACCCTGCCTTCGGCTGCCAGCATCCATCACACTGCCTCTGCTGGAGAAAAAGGTAAGACAAGAGGGCGTGGCTGGGACTGCAGTGGGTGGGTGATAGAGATCTGCAAGGGGAAACTCAGTCCAGGCATACCCATCAGGGCCCTAGAGCCAGGAAAGAAAACAGAAAGCTCACCCCAAGTTTCCCCTTCCTGCAGAAGACTGGAAGATACTAGCAGTTTCCACCTGAGACTTGGCCTGGAGTTTTCCTCACCAGGTATCTTCTCCCCCTGAGACCTAGTGATGGCAGGGTGCAGTGAGTGGCAGAGCCCAGCAGCCACCGAGTTCCCAGAGGTCCCCATGAGTATATAAGGGTTTGTGGACAAATGAGTAAAACACCCAGCAAGATAGATGCCAGCTGCCGAATGGCCCTACAGTGTGTTCCTAATTTTCCTGACGATCAAGAATAATTGTCAGGGCTGGAAAGATGGCTCAGCAATTAAAAGCACTGGCTACTCTTGCAGAGGACCTGAGTTCAGTTCCCTGCACCCACATGGCAGCTAACAACCATCCCTAACTCCAGTTCCAGGGGATCTGATGCCCTCTTCTGGCCTCCATTGACATTGCATGTGTGTGGCACACATACACATAAAAATTAAAAAAAATTATAAAGAATAACTTGTCATGAAAACATTATGGGAGTCACAGTCAACATTGGTCTTCTCTCAGCAGTCTGGAGACCTAAGTAAGGTTCAGTTTATGTGGGTCTGCCAGGGGGTTGCCTTATGACTTGGACAGTTCCCCTCCCCTGCCCGAGTCTCAGTTTCTTCACCAGTAAGATGGGGGAGTGAGCACCACTAGCCCAGCTGGAAACCTTGGGCAAGAGGAAGGGCTTTGGGGGGGCTGGAGCAACAACTCAGTGGTTAAGAGCACTGGCTGTTCCTCCAGAAGACCCAGGTTTGACTACCAACATTCACATGGCTAACAACCATCTGTAACTCCAGTTCCAGGGGATCCAATGCCCTCTTCTGGCCCCTTGGGCATTGTGCAACATGGGTGCACTTACATACATGCAGGCGACACACTCATACACATTAAATAAATAATTTAGAAAAATATATTAAGGGGCTGGAGAGATGGCTCAGCAGTTAAGACTGGCTGCTTTTGCAGGGGACCCAGGTTTGGTTCCCAGCACCCACATGGTGGCTAACCATCGTCCGTAACTCCAGTTCCAGGGGCTCCAACCCCCTCTTCTGACCTCCACGGGCATTGCATGGACACTGATGCACTTACCTACACGCAGCCCCTAAAATACATTTTTTTTTAAAAGGGAGAGGTTTGGACTCCACATGATAGGTGGGAATCTTTGATAGGTGGCGATTTTTGAGGGGGACTCTGAGAGACCCTCCAAGTCCCAGCAGCTTCCAGTCTATCCCCAGGGGGTTTCATACACATAAAAATAAATTAAAAATTTATGCCGGGCGTGGTGGTACATGCCTTTAATCCCAGCACTCAGGAGGCAGAGGCAGGAGGATCTCTGTGAGTTCAAGGCCAGCCTGGTCTACATAGTGAGTTCCAGGACAGCTGGGGCTACATGGAGACCCTGTCTCAAAAAAAAAAAAAAGACCTAAAAATAATAAATAAATAAATAAATATTTATAAAGAATAACTGCTGACCAGCAGCTGAGTCATCCCTGCACCCACCACAAGTCTCCTCCAGGACCCATCCTCAGGGACACCTGGAACTTGGCCCTCCCCCTGGTCTCCAGTTCCAGACTTTCCTGCCTGCCCCTCTCTCAGTACAGCTGTGAGGACAGGAACAAAAGGGTGACTCCTGAAAAGCTCTCCCCCCACACTCACCAGGCCTGACTCTGGGTTTGGGGTCGGGCCTCACATCTCCCAAGGCCTGCAGGGAGGGGCTGCCTCCAGTTCAGTGAGGCTGGCAGACGCCTGGCTTCCAACAGTCTTGAATATTGACTGGCTGCACTCCTTCCGTCTCCTTCCCAGGGTCTGGGGCTTAGAGTCCCCTCACCCCACCCCTGGTAAGAGGCTTTTAGCAGAAAGGGAGCAGGGCACGAGTGACCATGAGCCAGCTGGCCAATACAGTGGGATAGGAGCAAGGAGACCTTCCTCTGCCTCCTGGGGCCTCAGGTAGGGGAATATAAAGCCCTGCCTTGTGGGGTCCTGATCTGGGACTGAGGGCACAATAGTGTTCTAGAGAGACCCAGCCTGCCAGGTTACCTCAGTGCACTATCACGACCCCTTTCCATCCTAGGTCACATTCCTGGAGGGGCTCCTAGCTTCCCTTGGATAAGGCTAATCCTGGTCTGAGCTGTGAGGGGGTGGAGGAACAGGAACAAAGGGTGCTGTGTCCCAGGCCACCTGTGAACAGGCACCATTTCCTTTGAAGATGGGGGAGGGGTATGAGTGAGGGCCTTGGGGTAGCCCCGAAGAGTTGGGTCAGAACAATGGACCTGAGGTGAGACAGACCTCCCAGGAAACGGCTGTGCCCCTCAGATGCCACAGACTCCATTCTCCCTAAGGGTCTCCATCTCCAAGCCCCCTGCCCTGTCCCTCAAATCAGACACCTTCACTCCTGTACTGTGCCCACTTCCTTTATTTTGTTCACCATTTATAAAAGTTCAACAGGGATGAGTAAGGGACAGGGATGGAACAAGGGGAGCCTCTCCTGGGGGGCAGGATAGAAGGGAGGAGAGGCTGGAGGCAAGAGGCCCTGGGGAGAGTCTTGGGGCCCCTGGAAGAAGCAAGTTGCTCTGTCTTCCAGATCTGCCTGCTCCATGGCTGGCCGCAGGCCCTGCCACAGGGAGCTGCTGGGCGACAGGCAGAGGGGGAAGGACAGTCTCCCCCCTCACCATCCCTCCCCGTCCTGGGGTATCAGGGCCTGGCATCTTGGCCCCACTGCTGCCGCTGCTGCTGGCTGGAACAGCCCTAGGCGGGCTGCTGGCCACCTCAGGCCCTGGTGGAGGATGGCACCTCAGCGGATGAGGGGCGCTGAGCGGTCGTTGGTGATGGTGGGACGCAGCTTCACGGTAGCAAAGGGATTTGTGCCCCTGTGGGGGAAAACTGCTTGAAAGGGGCCCCCAATCCCCACTGGCTGAGGGCCCAGGGAGATTGGCCATGCAATTGGCCAGGTGTTCACTTCCTGCCCCCACCCGCCTGCCTGAGTCACCTGCTCCCACCTGGCCTCCTGCCCACTGGGACTCACCTTGGGAAGAGCTCTGGGGGGTGCTGTTCCCAGGACATAAGTTTCTGCATAAAGGGGGGCAGGTTCAGTGGGGAGGAAAGACCCAGCCCTCCCACCACTCGCCCCAGGAGAGCACAGGACTGAGAGGGAGGGGGCCCAATGGGCCAAACTCTAGGACACCTTGCAGCCCAGAATTCTGAGCTCAGAGTTGAGAAGTTCTAGGCTTTCCACGGTGCTACGGCTTGTGGTTAAGGTTGGTGACCCATGACCCCAGCCTCCTCCTTCATGTGCCCCTCCACCTGACCTCCCTCAGAGGGGTGGTCAAGGTCTTCCTTTCTGGACTACCCTAGTCTGGCCAGGTTGAGGACAGGTGAGCTGACCTTGACATCAGCAGCCGCCCCCATGCTGCCCATGCTGTTCCTCCGGCTGCCGGGCAAGGGTGTGGGTGTAGGGCTGGCTGCCTGGCTGGGGACATGACTCTGGTTCCGGGAGTGGGACTGGCCATCCCAGTATTCTGAGGACGTTGTGGGGTTGCCGGGCTGATCCAAGAGGTCATTGAGGCTGTGGCTGCCCCGGAGTGGGTAGGACCTGAGTTAGAGGAGGCAAGCAGGGGGGTCAGGTGCACCCTGATGCCCCCATCCCATGAGCCTTCCACTGAAGCGGGGGAGCAGACTGCGAGGGCTCCTAACTGGAGGCAGGGGTTCGACATAACAACCTTCATGCAGAGGTGGGGGACCTGGCCATAGGTTCTCCAAAGGGGCCAAAGAGGCTGAGCCCATGAGACTGTCTCACAGATGCCTCCCAAAGGGGAAGGGCAGGTACCCTTTCAGGGGCCCCATCCCACCCACTTGGGTACCTGGAAGGCAGTTCGTTCATTGGGTTCATGGGGGCCATGGAGTTCATGGGGTTCACAGGGTTCACGGCGTTCATGGGGTTCATGGAGTTCACAGGTATCTCCTCCACAGGCTTCACATAGGCCTCTGGGAACCAGCCACTTCTGTGGACAGAAGCCAAGGGGCTCTTGAGCCAGGCCCAGTATAGAGAGAGAGTGATGGATGGCCAAGCAGGACTGTGACTGGGCTCTGCTCAGAGGACACTGCAGACAGCAGCCTGCCTCACTCCCCCATGGAGGTCGTTCCTGGCAGTCAAAGCCTTACAGAGCCCGTGCCATCTAACCTTATGTCCCTCTAACTTCACGTCTACCAGCAGCTGAGATACACAAGAGAGGAGGACCTAGGACTGAATTAGAAAACAGACTGCTCAGGGACACAGCGATGCTCCTCGGCCACAGGCTCTCTGGAGTCACCCCAACCCCACCCCAACAGGACATAGTTTGGAGTCGGCCAGGGCTGGCAGCTCCCTGCTGACCTGCTAGAGTAGCACCGTTATGAGCAACCCCGCCACTGCGCTCTGCACACCTTAATCTGATTTCAGAGACCCCTAGCCCGGTAGATGCTGGGAGAATGTTCTCCAAAGAGTTGCCTCATGTCCCAAGTAACACAATCTATCTCCTCACCCAAAGTTGGCTGTCCCTATGTTCTTCCACTTTACCAGGAAGTGCCCAGTGAGGATACACTTTCCTTAACCTGGGAGCCCAGGGCACCACAACCTACCCAGCTGGTAGCTGCACAGTGGTATCTCCAAGGCTTTGTGTCAGGGCTCTGCAAGCCATGTATATATAGGAGGTGGGGCTGCACCTCTGCCTACTGTCAGGCTGTCAGCTACCTCTGCTCCTGGTCCATGGGGCACACTAGTCCAGGGTGATCTCTGTCCTTAAGTAGGAGCCAGCCTGTACTCACCTGGGCAGCCATCCACTGGCCTCATCCAGTGTATCCACTGGGGCACTGGTCACCCACCAGTCCAGCCCCCACCTAGTTGGTCCCCCTCAGTCCATATAAGTACCCACACCCACACATTTCTATCTGTGCCCCACACAACCCTCCCCTCAGTCCTCCACAACCCGTCACCATTTACTACCCCCACCAGCACCCAGTCGCCTGTGGGCCCTGCATGGTTCATGCTCTCACCTCCTTTGGTAAGCTCTGGGAGAGGTGGGGGCTTAGCCACACACCCCCTCTCATGCAGAGGCCTCCAACACTCCCTGGTCAGCCCCCTATCCTGCTGTGTCCCAGGCTATCTGGCTTTCTCCCCTTCTACTCCAGGTGTGCAGAACACCCTGGATGGGTTCTTCAAGGTGAGCCTGAGTAAACTGGGCAGGGAGGATTGGCGAAGGGGAGGACGACTCCACTCACGCGGACGAGCCCTCCAGCTTGCCGTAGAGCCAGCCATTCTGGGCCTCGGGCACCAGCACTTCCACGACGTCTCCAGCCGAGAAACGCAGCAGCGTGTGGTTGGCACCCTCGGAGTGGGAGACCAGGGCGCGGACTCTCCTGGCGCCGCCACCTCCGCCGCCCAGGCGCTCGCCGAAGGAATTGGAGCGAGAACGCTGGGTGCTGCTCGCGTAGAGCGAGGCTGCCGGGGCGGAGAGCGGGAAGTTCTCTCTGCAGTCTATCCTACATCCCTCCAGCTGCAGTCGAGTGCCAGATCCTCGTCCCAGTTCACCCTCTGCACCCCGGGGCGCGGGATACTCACAGGCCGACGGCGTCCGGGGCAGGGACCGGCGGTCTGGCTCCAGCTGGGACGCGGACCTCGCCTCGGCGGGCTCGGGGCCGTAGGAGCCGGAGCCGTGCCGGCTGCGGGGGGAGCCAAACTCTCCCAGGGGCCTCGGGGGCTGCGAGGGGAGAGGGCAGGGGGTGGGGCGGGAGGGGCGGAGCCTTTCTAGCCCCGCCCCCAGCCCCAGTCCCTGACGTCGGCGTAGGGGTTGGGGGCGCGGCCGGGCCACCACGGGGACACCGAGGCGACCCCCGGGTGCCAGGGCGTGAGGGGTCCGGTGTAGAGCGGGGGCGCGGGGGGCGGCGGGCTCCAGACCCAGGGCCTCGTTGCCCAGGGCCCCGCGAAGGGCGGCGGGGGTGCGAAGGGCGGCGGGGGCGGCCAGGGCCTCACCATGTCCAGGCGGGTGGGCGTCAGGCGGCCGGAGGGGTAGGTCGGCCCCAGCGCAGGGCCCAACAGCCCCGGGGAGTGGGCGCGCGACGGGCTGCGGCTGGCCTCCGACTGCTCCTTCCACAGCACCACGCGGTTCTGCAGCAACCCCCGGGCCTGGCCGGTGGCACAGTGTCAAAAGCAGCCCACGACCCTGGGCATGACCCTGAAGCCTGGTCCTAAGGCTGAATCCTGGGTGTGACCCTGGGGCCTGACCTTAAGGCTGGCCCCTGGGTGTGACTGTGGGGCATGCCCCTTAAGGCCTAGCCCTAAAGCTCGACCCCGAGGGTGACTCTGAGGCCTTACCCTGGGTGTGACCCTGGGGCTTGGCCCTAAGGCCAGACTCTGGGTGTGATCCTGAGGCCTGACCCTAAGGCAGGACCCTGTAGGTGACCCTGGGGTCTGGCCCTAAGACTGGACCCTGGGCATGATCCAGAGGCCTGACCCTAGGGCCAAACCCTGGGTTTGACTCTGGGGCCTGACCCTAAGGCCAGACTCTGGGCATGACCCTAAGGATCCTGGATGTAACCCACATCCTGAAGGTCTGTTAAGGAACCCCCCCCCCCCAGACACGCAGCTTTCCCATGTAAAAGGCTGACACACCAACCCCTTTGGAAAGTAGCCCTAGGCCAAGTGACAACTGGAGGTGCCTCTATAGCCAGACTTACTGAGCTAACAGCTGGCTCAAGCCTACCCACCTGCCTCCTCCATTCCTTCCCAGGCAAAGGTCTCATTGAGTCCTGATCTGAGTAAGCTGGATGCTTTATGGCATAAAATGGGGTAATTGGGAAATTTGATGAGAACAAAGTGAAGTGTCCCTTCCTGAGCACCCCCCTCCTGGAAATCTCCCCTCCCCAAGTCTTCCCTGGCAAGCTGGCTACTTAGAGTAACTGAACCAGCATCTCCAGCCACAGACTCTGCTTCAGTAAATAAAGTGGAGTGTGATGATCCAAGATGTCAGTGACTGAGTCTCACACAGGGGAGACCAAACTACCTGTACCAACCATCTTTGACAAGCTTTCCATGACCCCCTTTCATGGATTTCTCCCTTGAGCATGGAGCAGCTGCTGGTAACCTCAGAGCAATTTACCAGGCCATAGTGACAACAGCTCTCACACTACTGGGGCAGCTAGGTGGACACACTGTTTCCCTGTAGCCATTAGTTAACAGAAGAGCACAGAGAGGTGCCTCAGAGGCAATAAAGAAAGCTTGGACATCAAGTTCTGCATACCTAGTTTTTATTCATTTTATTTATTCTGGTTTTATGTGTATGACTGCTTGCCTGCATGTATGTATATGTGGCATGCATATGCAGTGCTTGCAGAGGCCAGAAGAGGGTATCGGATTTCCTGGAAGTGGAGTTACAGACAGGAGATGCTGGAACAGAATCCTGGTCCTCTGCAAGAGCAGCAAGTGCTCTTAACCACTAACCCATCTCCAGCCCCTTGGTGTGCTGAGTTCAAGGGACCTGTGGCTAATTTGAGAGTCCCTGGCCATGATTGTAGCTCTTCTTTCTCTCCCCTGCCTAGTCCCATTAGCCAGCACCCAGGAAGAATCAGGGTGGAATGGGAGATCCCAAGCTAGAAAGGAGAACATCAGAGAATTGAAGAATATATGGGTGGAACAGAAAAGGCATTCAAACATTACAAGACCCCTAAGTGCAAAAAGAGGGCTCAGAAGGTGAAAGCTCTAGCTGCCCAAGCCTGGCAGCCCATGTTCAAGTCCTGGAACCCACATAAAAAGCCAGATGCAGCTGGGTGTGTGGTGGCCTATGCCTTTAATCCCAGCACTCAGAAAGTGAATCTCTGTGAATCTGAATTCATCTACATAGAGGTCCAGCCAGGGCCACACAATGAGATGTCTTCACAAACAGACGACAACAGCAAAAAAACTAGATGCATTGGTGCACATCTGAAATCTCAGCACTTCTTTGGCAGGGTGGGAGGTGGAGATAGAATTGCCCTGAAGCTTGAAATCAGCTAGCTTGGAGTACACAGAGCAGCAGCAAGAGAGATTAACTCAACAAGACAGAAAGAGAGA